ACGTGCTCTAACTTAATCTAAATGTGATTTCAAGCATTTTAAAAGTTTGACGTACGCGTACGCGTTTGTTATTAGGCGCACGCGTAAAATTTGGGTAAATTACATTTAACATTGACTTGAAGTTAATGCTCACTTAATACGATTTCGAAATGGCAATTGGTTAGGCTGATATGATCGATAATGTAAAAACGCAAAATTGCGCGTAGATGACGTCACGCATAACTGCGCACTTTGAAAGCCTTATTGTGACTATTCCAGGCCAAGCTAAATGTTTGTTGAAACGTGCATGTATGAATCTCGTGCCAATTTTTAGATATCGTGCTAACAAGAAATGGAAAAAAAAAAAGAAGATCTCTGACAATAACAAGAGGTGATCCGCTAGTGTAGCGGATCACCAATAATAATGAAGGTGCTCGAATAATGCTTTAATAAATAATTAATAATACTTCAATAATGCTTTAATAGGCCTATTTACGATAGTGTGATTAATAAGATATTTGTTGATTAATTTATAGAAATATAATAAGTAGGCCTATATACCATTAATAATGATTCAGCATATTAAATCAACAATACGTCGTAAATGTAAAATTTGTTTGGTTTTTTTAAAATAAAATGTTACCTATTTTATTGTGTTTCAAAAAAATATTAAATTATGTATATATATATATATATATGTGTATATATAGTATATAGTATATATGTATATGTATATATGTATATGTATATATGTATATAAGTCGTTGAAACAAAAAATTATGACAACAAGGCATGTAGACTGTAGAACACTTCATTTATTTTCGAAAGAAATTTTCGGCCAGTCCTCTGGCCTTCATCAGCTTTACTGAATGTACAAGTTGGCCNACAAGTTCTATACTGTACAATATAAACAATACAATAGAGGTGTAGACGGATTATAGGCCAATTATCTAATAGTTTATGCGGTAATATAACAATTCGTAATTAAGCGTACATAGTAGAACAATAGGGTGGGAAGCGGACTTAACTACACAATAAGTAAATTATTATGAAGTCTTAAAGAGTAAAAGATGGAATATATGAATAAAACAAAAACAAATCTAAATAAACCTATAGGCTTATAAATAGGCTATATAATGTACAGATAAAGATAATATATACATTTAAATAATATACATGTAAAAATATAAAAATAAAAATAATAATAATAATAAAGAGGTGTAAATAAGGAAAGCACATATCAGCTATCGATATAGAACAGAATAAAGAGATGGTGAGAATCAATTGTATGGGAAGTTGTATTCACTGAGAAAGTCTATATCTCTATTAAGGCCTAAGGTGTGGGTTTTGTGTTTAAGTATGAGTTTGAGTTCGGAAATGCGGCGATCGTTAAGAGATTTAAAGTTGTTGGCTATTGTGCATCTCAAATCACTAATGTTATGGTTAGGAGAATTGAAATGTGTGGCTATGGGAAGGTTCTTATGGGTGCGGATAGATGACTTGTGATTATTAATTCTACTTCTAAAAGAAGCTCCAGTTTCACCAATGTAGGTGCCATTACACACACACACACACACACACACCTGTGACCTTAGAACTACAATTTATTTAATATATTTTAAATAATAAATATATGAATCCTACAACGAATTTTTTAGGTTTGAAATTGGCATCAAAAAGTAGTAATTTTTCAATCGCGATCTTCGTATTTGTCGGTTCATGGAAATATATATATGTATAATTATTATTATTATATACATATATTATTATTATATTTTTATTATATATATATATCTATATCTATATATATATATATATATATATATATATATATAATTTAATAGACAAATAGGATAAACCCAGAAAAAACATGTAATAAGCCTAATCAATTTATGTATTACGTAAACGTAACAGAGGAGGAAAATCTGATCGGAATAAAGTAAAGAAACTTTGCCTCAACCAGGACCCAAACCCGTTGGACGCAAAGTTTCTTTTTTCGATATAAGATCTTCCTCTCATATTACCACTGTATTTACCTTTCTTTGATGATTTATATATACATATACAAATTCACGGACTAGTGCTGTCTCGTAAGAATTTCGTAGGACGCGATAAGAATGACAAAATATTCTCTGTATCTACTGGAACCGAGCCACATAGCTTGTATTCCACTATTTGCATTCACACCTGGGCAAAATGGTTAAGTTGTCGCACCTGTCTCTTATACACTTAGTGGTCGTGGGACTAGTTTGGGCCCTACCTAAGCTGGTCGAACGTTTCGTTTGGGTCTATACCCTAGCTGCACTGATGAGGCCTGGAAGGCCGAAACGGATCCGTCTGCAGATATTGGGATTCCATCCAGTGGATGCTTAGTTTATTTTGTCATTCTGATCGGATTTTCTCTACTGTTCCGTTTTAATTTTAAATAGTTTTGCATTATGTGGCCGTTTGCTGTTTTATGGGTTTTCCCATTTGCCTTTTAAAA